AAATACGCGTGCACACGCAATTATCTTAAATTTATACAAAGTTAGAGAGACAGTTATAGAGAGACAGATGCGTGTAAAAAATATTATTTATAAAATCTTTCATTTCAAATATGTATACATATTTATATACATTAAATGTACACAGTAGAAAATTTTATGTTAAAATTGTCCACTGAAATTTCGTGTTACTTCGACGTGGGGAATGTGTTAAATTATATCAACATATGTTGACAAGGTAAACGTGTTAATTTAACATTAAATTTCTGTACTTTTTAATACATCTCCCATGTTAAAGTAACACAACATTTCAATGGATCTTTTTTAACATAAAATTTTTTATTGCATAGATATTTTATTCGCGACATAGAGAATTGTTATTGCAGAATAACTTTTTTGAAATTTGACAGTTATATTTGCTATACATGGATTGCTATCAAATGACGGTGTAAGTTTTTGCCTCGATACGTTTCTCGCTTGCGAACGAACGCGGATAGAGAATTTTAATGGAAAACCGAGCGTGCGGCCGAAGCGGCCGGAAGGGAATCGCGATGATTCTGTGAAATATGGCTCAGGAGCGAGCAGGTTTTCGGCGGGGCTACGTTAATGGGTGATTGATAAACGACCTTTTCTCATCAACTGCATCGGCTGCATATTTATCACCGTGTGGCCCCGATAGAAACGCCACGTACACACGCTACCACGCTGCAGCCGCGTCAGCGATGCGAGAAGTAGATGGCATTACACCCTCCGTAAAAGGCGTAAAACATTGCGCAAAAACCTCACTTGAAAAGCAAGCTGAAAATATGCACGAAACAAATATGCGCGCGCTACGTAAACCCCGATTCACATGGAACATTATATTCAACGATGCAATTAACTAATTCCGCGGGTCTTCCCGAGATTTATCGTGCATTTGTAGAAAATAAACGAGTAGTATTTGCACACTCCATTCTTTTGGGGTTAACTTCACGCGCGAAAGAGAAACGATGCTTTGCTTTTACTCTCAATATCTTTGTACAGTCGGTCGCAGGACGGTTGCAACAGTATTTTCTTACGTGCTTTGGAACACACACACACATTGTACGTAAAATTATTTTAATCTTCCCGTCATATAAATCCACGTTACACGCGATCACGGGGAATCGCTTACCCGATGACGTATTAATTCCCATGCAGAAGTCAATCGTGCCAAAGTGCACGCGCGCGTATGAGGCATCCCCTTGGTGGACCTTCGCGACAGATACCCCCGGTGTTAAACTTCACGGGCAGCCCATGCTCGACGTTAACAGCTCACGCGTGTCCGCCACGTGTCGAGCGCCCGTGCTGGTTCCGTGTGCGTGTTTAACTTCGTCGAAATAGACGGTGCGAAACTTTCCCTTCCTGACCGTTTTGCGGAGGCAACCCGGGCAGATGGCTGCGAAGTGCCGCGATTCTCATGCGCGCGCGACCTATTTTTTTACTTGAGAATTTCAGATAGAGAGACCGGCGGAACGACAGGCTTCATAGAAATTGTCTGTATAAATCAGAGAAAAATGTAAAATCACTATGCGTATCTTCGATACAAGTGTAAACGATTTCGACTCTCCTTTTTCTCGCGTCGAACTTTTTAATTGAGCGAAGCGAGGCGAAACGCAGAGGGGGACGTAAAGTGGAATTAGGGATCGGTATATCGCCGTCTCTGCGAGTTTGCGGTTCCACGTTGTGTGATCGGTAATAAATATGGTTCATAATCCAGGAATGGCTGCGTCAAGATACAGAGAGCGTAGCGCCCCGCTGTGCGACGCGTGTCATACGTAACGTCGTCGTAACGACTTTCCCGACTTTACGACTCCGAATTAGGATTAGACTCGGCTGTATTGCGCGCCGCACTATCTGCTGCGCATGAAGCGGATCGTTTAATTTATTCCGGGGATGAATTGGCGAAACCATCTCCGAGAGCAGAGTGTCTCGCTGGGATATTTGAGTTTATCGAGTTACTAAGAAAGGGCGAGGAAGGGAGGGGGGAAAGGTGAAAGAGAGAAATCGTCTCGCATTATTGAATCTTACATCCTATATTTTTCGTTGTCGCGAAAATAAATTTCAGCGCGTTACAGCGATTTACGATTGTTACGATACATGTGCGTATCACACCGTTTTCAGATTATCATGTCGACGATTTTTATATTTGCGAGATGAAAGATTCTACAATGAATTTACGAGATCGATCTTTCTTTAAAGACATTTTAATGAAGTTTGAAGAACGGTAATTTAAATCTTTCCGAAGGTATCGTCATTTAGACTAGAATTAACTGACGATATCATGTGTATATTTTCTATTCACAAGTTTAATTAACCGATCCCCTAATTTCTAGTATCAGATAATGCCTTCGTCATCGAGTCCCCTCGATACCGAAATAACTACTATTTTTCTCGGTTTGATTTCCCGGTATTTATGAATGTAAGAACATCCCGTGTTTTTGGAACGTTCTGTATAAGATACACAAGAAACAGCGTTGTTCTTTCGCGATGCTCGAGTCTCTGCCGGGCGTAGGATAGCGCCAATCGAAAAGTCATTACAACTTTTTGCCGACTCAATCAAGAAGTTAATGTCCTTTAACCTTGCGTCGTTTCCCGAAGGATTTTCCTTTGCCGGGATCCGGAGAGATCGCGTAAGAAACCGACGGGTCTCACATGCCCGGTAAAATAGATCACCGGCGTATGATTGATCGCCTATTGGCTCCATGGGGTGGCGAATGCTTTTTGTCCGATGCACCCGCTTATATATCGGGAGTTATTCTTCCTACACGAAACTACGATGTCTCCCGTCTTGCCTTATATCGAGATTCACCCGTGCAATCTGAAACACGATTAAATAATAAATCAATAATACCTCAATAACATTACAGATTATACATATAAGAAACGTATGTAAAATAAATATGAAACGATATATTAAAAAATTAGTTATAAATAAACTAGATGAGACTTTGCGGGATCAAAAATGGGCTGTCAAGTCCAATTGCGACGCGCACGGGAAATAATTAGTAACATTGTGTACGAAAATCAAACCGAGCGATAAAAAGATACGATAACAATAAAAGTATAAACAAGTATAAAAAAAAGGTATAAGTAAAAATAAAAGTATAAATGACGCAACAATTTTTATAACGCCCTTAAAGCGCTTTATCACTCGTACACACCGACCGCATTTCCACCAAAGCCGTATGTCACCTGGGGAGATTAGGGTATTTATCGAACTGACGAGAAATGGGTAGGAGACGTCAGAAAGATAATCCGCAGAGCGATGGTGCCGCGCGGACATCGCCGGTACCTTCTGTCCAATGCAGTCGATTTAACGCGCCTCTCCTCTCTTCTCGATAACGAGTTACACACGTAGCGTGACTTTCTCTGAAGAAATACGAGGTTCATAGCCGATACGGGGGGTGAAGTGAAAATCAAGGTCAGTCGTTAGCCGAGAACTCATCCTCACGATCTCTCGGTTGAACGTTCTTACGAGAGCGTCAGAATTTACAAATAATACACCCGCTCACCCCCTACAGTCACTTCGCGTATCCTCACTCAGCAAGATTGCGGTTCTTACCTTTTCTCGAAGCGGTCCCCGAGACTATCGCGGCCACTCGTATCAATCGGCACCTCTTCGTGTTTCGAAAGCGAGATCGTCGTACCTTCATCAGCAGACCTGGCTTGTCTGCCGAACGTCCAATATAGTTGCGAGTCAGCCATAAAAAAAGGAGCGTAGCCCGGGGCGCGGGCGTTAAAAATATTCAAGATCGTTTGTCAGGCTGAATTACAGCCCCCGGTCGTATCCACCCCTTCGCCGCCACCTTCGCTCGTTCGCCACCCCGACAGAGCGGGATTCTGCGGAATGCGTTGCGCAACGCGGGGAGGGCAAGACGCGCGGATGGGTGAAGGGGTGGCAAAAGCAAGAGACCACGACAGCGACGACGACGACGACGATGAGGAGGAGTACGACGACGACGACGATCCCAGGCACATGTGTCGAACCTGAAATATGTAGGCGTGGTCTGGACGGTGCTAGCAGACGCATCCCGACGAGCGAATATGTTCACCCCGTTGCTACGCTCCACCCCCGTATAACGTTACGAACACCGCCATTGGCCGGCGCCACCCTCGTTGCGCCTCCACCTGCCACTGTTCGCGCTACCCTTGGCCGCAGCAACCTCTAAATACGGGGTATGCGCGAACGGCACCCTCATTTTAACGCGGACCGCCGATACGACCTCGAGTGTTCGCCACTTTTAGTGCGTCCCGGACTGTGCACCAGATCGGTGAGTCCGGTTAAGAGGATTGCTTTCGCTCAACCCGCAGTTGATCTCGGGCTCGCGTGCTTGTGGGGATCGATCTTGAAGGAGGAGACCGTGTGGGAAAAGTGCGGTTTTCATGTCTTAGGGAAGACCGAAGAGGCACCCTCGAGAGGGTGGACAACGTGGCGCACAGGTGCGGTTTGCAGGCCTCGGGTGCTCGGAAGACATTTGTCGCAATCTGGTGAGAATGATTTGCCATTTGCTATTTTTGTCAACCGTTAGTGTCTTTGTAAAAATCATAGCCATGGGTCTACGAAAGATTGTAGAATTTCTTAAACGCGATATCCAGACCTTTCAAATCGCTTTAGCCCCTTCCATGGAAGCTTCTTCTCAATTTACGTGTTGCTCGGAATGGTACCTTCATCTCTCACGATGTCACCCATTATCGGCTAGTTGATCAATCGTCAGGTCATCTCGTTATTACATTCGTATTATATGGCATTTACGGATTTAACATTCGATGCTTACTTCCGTTGCGTTGATTTCGCTCGAACACGGCCTGCGTATCTCGCTTCCTTTGAGTTGTTTCCGGCGATGACACTCGCCTCGCTCAGATTCACGTTTCTCGAATATAGGACATCTGGGCTGAGCGTATCGAATCATGAGCGATCGATCACGATGTGACGTTAGCGCTCACCATCCATTGTCGCAGGTCGATCATACGGAGCGAGCAGGATGACAATGGAAGATCGCACGGGTGGCATCGACCGCGCCGCCTCCGCGACGTCGACGCCGGCCACGACGGCACTGACGTCGTCGTCGTGTCCCGCGTCCATCAGCGACGTCACGCATGACGCCTCGTATCCCCTTCAGCGAGCCAGCAAGCGCTCCTTCGACGTCGCCTTCTTGGTGGCGCCTGACGAGAACTTGGCGCGCCGTCAGAGCGAGAAACTGAGGCTGGTGTCCAGCCGGAGGGACCGTCCGCGGGATGACGTCTCTATGGACAATGTCTTGGACGCCGACCGGTTGCCGCAGAACCTCACCATCAAGCATTATGATAACGACTCCGGCGGCGCGGACAGAAGAAGGCATTGCACGGAGAATTCGCTGAGTCCGCCGTACGTATCCCCGAGAACGCTCACGCCGACCTTACCGGGCCTCTCTCCGGACTCCGACGGCAGGAGGTACGCACCGACCGCTCGGCTTCAGAAGACCCCGAGCCCGCCCGCTTTCGCCGGACATCAGTCCATATTAACCACCTGTCCGGAATCGACCGATCCTTCGGTTTTGGCCTGTGCGAAAGTCTACGAGAGTGGCATTCCCTGCGCGACCGACCACCACGGGGAGTCTCGCAGTGCCTTCACGAAGGTCAACCTGGCGGCTCAGCGAAACGGCTTCAACGAGGACGGACAGACCTCGCCCAGGTCGTCGATATCGCCCGAGGACCGCGCGAGTTACCAGAGCAGCGTCAGTCCACCGGTGGTGTCCTTGCCAGGTACGACGAGCTACAAGTATGCGCCGTTTCCCACCAAGATGGCATATCCCTTCCTGATGGGTTCGGAGACCGGGCAGACCGGCCTGTTGGAGAACTTGAAGATCCCGCAGATCGCTCAGCCGCCCAAGGTGCCCAGCCCGAAGGTGCCCACTTTCCGGCCGGATCTGCCACCGGTCTACCCGAATCTACCCTACAGCCCCATCTCCGTGTTCCCGCCGATGGCGGACGCCCTTGCCAGGCCGAGATTCTTGGCGACCGCCGCCGGAGTCGCCGGCCTCCTGCCGCCATCGTTCGCCGCTCTGACGCTGCCGGCGCAAAACGTCTGCGCCAAGTGCAACCTCTCCTTCCGGATGACCTCCGACCTGGTCTACCACATGAGGTCTCACCACAAGAACGAGAACGCGGGCGAGGCGGCGAGGAGAAGGAGGGAGGAGAAGCTCAGGTGTCCGGTCTGCGATGAGAGCTTCCGCGAGAGGCATCATCTCACCAGACACATGACTGCTCATCAGGACAAGGAGAGCGACGGCATAGTCGAGCAAGTCGAGATTAAGAGGAGGGCCACTCCCGTTCATAGTAAGTGACGACGAAAATTGCCGTCCGAAGACGATATACTAGCGGCTGGATATTCCTTCGAGAACTGAGTCCTCCGGTGATGACGGAGAGCAGCGGGTATTACGGCGTTTAGGTAACGATATTTAGGTCCTCCTTCGTTTGTCATTACGTACCATTAGAAGGAGAGAAGTAGAGATAGAGATCGAGACGTCGCTCGTACATTGAGAAACCAATTTGGTGGCATCGGCCGAAAAACGGGCGATCGAACGCGATTTGGTTGAAGGAAACCAAATTTCGTTCCTGTAACCAACGATTTTATTGCCCGTTTTTCGATTGATGCGACAAAACTAATTTCCCAGTGTACTGTGTAACGCGATTACGCAACTTTGATGTTATTTTCTCGTTAGTCCAGGTTAATCGAATTTTTATACATCTTCCACACGCGTGTTCCGCGAACTTACCGAACAACCTTTCATCTATAAATTCTTCGTCCCACCTTCTGTGTCCTGTAAAGAGACCATTAAGGAACACTTATACACCGTATACGTGTACGATAAGAAGTTAATGTCTATGGAGAGATTAATGAACGCGTCTATCGACGCGTTGATCGCGCGGTTCTATGCGCGTCTGGTTTCACTCACGCGCCGCGATCGAAACATTCCCTGTCTAGTCAATATTAGGTAGGAACAATTTGTAAATATATCTGAAAACTTCTTCGGCGATGTAAGAGGTGTCTATACTTTAAGGGTAACGTGTAAATAAGTCGCAATAGCGTGTATGTCCTTAACAAGGGATTGTTAGACTTAATTATTTTAGTCGCGTTGAGGAGAGAGACGAGGAAACAGTTGGTTTTGGAAGTTGAAAGGCTACGTCTCGTAAGTTTCGAAAATTAAGACAGATTTTAGATATTTTCTACGAACAGATCTACGTACGCACCTGGTTGCGTAAAAACGATACTTGCGCATGATACCGTCTCCACGTTTGAATATCACATTAACGCGCGAGAAACGTCCGTGTGTGACGAGGAATTAAAATATCCCGGAATTTTCCAATTAACTTCCAGGCGCGATGCAAATTTGATTTGAAACGTGGTCGCACGAACGCGATAATGTGCGCCCGAAACGGCATATATTTACGGAAAAGTAACGTGTGCTAAAATTGTCACCGGCAGCAAATAATCGCGGTCGTATTTCGACACGCTCGCAAATTACATACGGTCCATTCCGAACGACTCCATTTCCACGGGCGCGGCAAACTAAAATATTTGTCGCGTATTTACGGCGGCGGACAGGTGAAAACGGGCGGCGAGAGTCCGGGTGTGGTGACGATGGCGGGTGGTGGGATCGCGTCGGCCGCCAGAGACGCGCGAGAAAGGGTTGCGCGCGGCGCGGGGTGGCGCACAAGCGTGGTGTAAAGCGCATTTCGGCGTTGTACACGGAGGTGAGGGCGGCGTGGCAATAAATAGATCGTAAACCGTAACCCGCGTCACACACAAACCGTCGGAGCGCGCATAATGGTAGGAAACAATGAATGCCGTAATCGGAAACAGTGCCGGTTTGTTATCTGCCATTTACACTCCATTTAACTTCAAACGGCGAATCGGCCGGCGCGCATTCGCGTTTTAAATACAGCCGGCCTCCAACCACCGTCGAGGATCGCCCACGCCGCCCTTCCTCTCCTACATAGCGCACCCCCTTCTACGGCGTACGGCTTAACATAGGGTTAAGCTGCCACCGAGTGGCTTAATATTGTCCGAAAATTACGTGAATTATCGCTCCGCGTTAACTCGATGTTGCAGACGAACGGGGAAAGAGGGGGAAAGAGAGAAAGGGAGGCGTAATAATCGTTAAGTTAAATAACGCAGTATTCTGTACAGCAATAATCACAGTAGCTTGTAAATATTTACAGTGGAATTTTTAATACCGAAGAGAGACGTGCGTGTGTAAATTATGATATTATAAGTAAGTTGAGAGATGTATCGATATCGATCGAAGGGAAAAGGAAAGGGGAGAATCGAATCGTATAGATGTTCAACGAGAGAAGTTCAGTATTATTATTAATAATTGTCTTCTACCGACAGTCTCCTACAGGAGTATCCACTAAGGCGTCGCGACGAGGAGCGCGAAATTGTTCTAAGATTAAATGTACCGCAATACATGTAAGTCTGTATAGAAAACTATTAATCTTTTCTCTTCATAGGGATATCGAAGTTCTGTTTCGTTTTATAAGGATTGTTTTATCCAGATATCATGTTGTATCACTTCGATGTAAATAGCACGTTGTACATAAGCACTGTATGTGTAACCCCAGGTCGTTGTTAATTAATAAAAGAATATCCGTGACATTAATACATGATGTTACTCCGTCCACTTGATTCACGATTCGCTAATCAATTTAGCCGATGAAGGTTTGTCGGTTATTAATAAGTATTAATTAATTCATATTTGTATATAATTCGCGTGAAATATCTTGATTCTCGCGTTTATCTTTATCTATTGAGAACCGGATGTTTTTTGGTATAAAAAGATATTGATTTTTTTATCAAATATTGTCGGTGGAAGAAGGTGGAGCTCGTTATGTCTTCCCAAATACAGAATCGATCTTGTTCTTTATTTCACGGACGTCGTCCGTCCTCCTCTTGTCTCCGCAGTGCTAAATCACTGAAAGCCGATTACGTGGCAATAGATTAATTTCTGGCCACTCGCGGAGACCTCTTCCTAACATCCGATTTGCTGGTATCAAATTGATTGTTACTTTTTGTTGTGTCGCGGTAAAAACGTACACGAGGCATCAACGGAGGCAGCGCGTCTGAAAATTCATTTCTGTCCAGAATTAAAGCGCTAAATGGATTTTCTGTTAGAAAAATAATTTATTTCTACAATTCCTGTCTCTCGGTCGTATTTTAATTCGTATTGAGTTTTTCGGGAAATATACGTCAAATTATAAGTTATAACTAAGGTAAAAAAAATAATTTCATTTTTTTATTTATTTATAAATCGAATATATAAGAAATCAAGTCATGTAATTTCGCGATATGTAATCATTTGATATGACAAATGACATATAAAGTGAGATATAATATATATAATATAATAATCTTACTGTGTATGGAAAGATAATATATAAATTTATATATCGACTTATGTATATATGTGTTGAATCGCGTTGTTTCAACGAACGGAAGATACACTGATGATTCTCTCGGAGACAACTGATTTCTCGGACTCTTCTCACGAGGGAAGAAGCTACTGCGCGAAATCCTTTAAACGGGTAACGTTAAGCTCGTCGAAACCGCAGCCAATACGACAAACAATCTCTTACCGCCCTTATTCCGGCTTAAGCTCGCCCCTTCACTACCCCCGAAGTAAGTGTACTTACCCTCTGCCCGAGGTCCATAAAGATAAATAACATGGAGCACCCGACGATACCTCGATGCTAGTTGTATCCCTTATTGAGCGACAAAGGGCTCCTTCCGTTCTTTTTCTTGTCTTTCTCGCGCTTCTCGCCGTACAAAATTCTCCATCCTCGTCTTTTTTTTTTCTTTATTTATCCGCCCCGCGTCTTTTTTCGAAATCTGCAGTTACGTTTCGATTTTGGAAATATCTTGTATATTATGTTTAAAACGCATTATTATAAGCATATCGACTGAATTCGAAGCGGTATTAAATAATTATTTTATGACCCACGATCAGGAAGCAGAGTGTGTTTGTGAAATTTATAATAATGTTAATGAAGTATAATAGAATAATTAATAAACGATAATTAGAAAGCCTTAAATAAACCGAACACTATTGCCAGCTGGAAGCAGGTGACACGAGACAACGGAACAAAGACGCTACGAGAGATCACGGGGCCTTCATTTCCGTTTAAATCGAGCACCCTGCATCCATCTTTATCCCCCGCGATCTCAGCCCGTCGTTCTTTTCCCACCCTTGTTAGCGATACTTCCCGTGGAGAATCGCGCGCATGCTTGTTCTGTCAATGAAATAATGACAATGTCATAGCCCGGAGCCGATTCGCCATGGCACCCTTGCCACGTGGGCGACGATTGGACGCGGATATGCTAATACGGCGTCCGTTCCGAAACATTAAGTTCTCGATTTGCCGATTCTCGCGAGACTAGCTACGTCTTGATGTCGTCCATACCGCCTGCCACTATTGTGCCTTCGATCACCGGATACGCGTTTTCTTTGGGGGACAGGAGTTCGACGGACTCTTTGCAAGGGAAGACGTGAGTCACTGCTCGTGTTTGTGAAGCATGTTCCTTCCTCCGCTCTAACGTGGATTATGATCGTAATATCAATTGATTATCTCATCCGGTCGTAACAACTTGATTACATTGTTAAAGATATTTTCGCTCTTATTGCCTTTCAATTATCGTTTCTGATTAAAAATATTTTTCACTTCTTTTTATTCTTCAGTGTCGCCTGCGTATATTTATGGGGGTGACGTGTGTTAATTGAAAAATGTTTCATTTTTCGCTATTGTTCAAATTTAATTTTTTTGCAATCAATCATTATACGTCAGCTATTAGAAACTATTATCTCACATTTCGTGTAAATCGCGTAATTCATTTATCCTTTCCGTTTCTGTTTCGAGACTACTCGTGTCGCAATTAGTTCCGTGTTGCTTACGATTTGTGATTTTATAATTTTTAATTTATCAAACCGGTGTCGATTTATACGAACCAAGTGCTTGTCTGCCCTTGATCATCGGCCACCCCGATTCCCGTTTCGTTACGGTCTTCCGATACGATTATGTAACTTGACTGCGAACACACAGCTTATATCGGTCTCACGATGCAGCCTGTTACGAACGTTTCGTTCTCAACCAGGCGTCGCTAAACGATTTCGTTCGCAAAGGCTAGCGCTTCTCTAGGGCATATGTCGTGATTCGCTGGTAGAGTTTCGCACGTATGTTTGGCAATAACGTCTACGAGATCTTCATATCAACGATTCGGAACTCGTAGCATCCGTCGTTATTTTCACGACTCCTCCCTTCGTCTAACATTTTCTCTCCACTTAGGAAG